TAACTATATTAGAATGAACTAACCTTTTTTTTATATTCAGCAGAAGAGTAGAATTTTCAGAGTATTTTATGGTACTCTGGGATATCAAGAGGCTATCGGATTGCCTCTTTCTGCCCTTTCCATTAATTGGGCTTATTCACGAAGTACTGTTATGTAGATGTAGGATTATAAGCTAACAATGTAGAATGAATTTAAATGAAATATTTCAGAAAAAAATGTTTAAGATTTCTGTTCCTATCGTCTTGAAGCAGAAAACTTTATTTTATACAACCTGCAGGGTTTTGTTAGATCTTCCTCCCCCAATCTAGTCTTTGTGCTAGTTAACAAAAGGTTAAATGATAAAAAGTTACGTGTGGGAACTACACGAACTAGGCTAAATGTACTAAAATTTTCACTGTAGTAGCAGGGAGGTTTTGAATCAACTTAGGGTAATCAAGGATAAGATTGCAAATGTATGTTATACATCAATTGGATTTTACCTAAAGTCCATCAAATTACAGATCAAATTAATTGCATGCAGCTATAAAATAGCATATTTTTCTATATCCTATGAGTATCTTCTTGGGTTTGGATGACTTCAGATCCACCCAGTGCCCATTCAGTTGTAACATCCCATCTTTAATTGAACCAGAAGACATAGCCTCTGTCCACTTACTTCTCCCCTGGATCTCTGAGAAGCTGCAGAAGAACAGAAATGTTACATTAATGTACTTGTTTCAAAGCAATCTACAGCTCTGCGTGAACCTAAAAAATCTCCAAGGATCTACTACTTGTTTCAGTTAATTTTCTGCAAGGCTACTTATTTTACTGCCCCATTTCACACAACTTTTCAAAACCTACAAATGCCATTCAACTATTTCTTTTTCTGAATAGTTAAATGGATTTACTTACAGACCATTGCGAAAGTGTAATGTTGGTGTTCTACAAGTGTTAGGAATGCACACAACCAAACCAGGAAGAATTGATCTCAATTTTAATCAAGAGATCCATTGTTGGTGTTCTCTCTACGAAATAAATTCCTATCATGTGCCTTTTCACTTCTATTAACCATTGTTAAAATGTACTTGATTCTTTGTTTATTATGGATTTGTAGTAAGAATTTGGTTAAGGAACTTGGGTAGGCAAGGACCCTTTTCAGCTTTTATTGTAATTAATGTTGCAAATAGTGAAGTAGTGGGAAGGAGGAATGTTGTGGGAAGAGCATGCATGAATGATGAAATTAGTCTCTTTTGTATTTGTTCTATTTTTTTTGTATCCTTATAAATATTGTATGATGTGTGATTCATATATGAAATCCTGGAGCAAAGGAAATTCTGCCTGGTTTGGAATCTTAACCATTGTCTAATTTTATCTGAAATCTCTGCCTCTTCATATGAAAGCTCTTAATTTTGTTAATTTCTTTTTGTAATGGAAAAACCAGAAGTGACTTTTTGGAGCAAATGGCCCTAGCAGCTTGCTTGCATTCTCTCTCACTAGTGAGCTGTTTTTCTCACTTCTCATGAACATCAGATTTATTCACATTGAAAGGAAATCGATCACAGGTAAAGAAAAATCTACGGGCAAATCCTCCCCCAAGGTACATAACACAACTTCTATTGACTTCATGGAGATGCAGTGCACATACTTCAATTTAGTACTTAAATAGAGCGAACAGCGATATGAGAAAAGCATTGTATAGCGATGCAGAAATAGAAGCAGAACTGGAATGCCAATACTTGTTCTGTATAAAAGGTAGCATCGTTCATTGGGTACATGTGGAAGACATGGAGATGACATTCTCTCAAATATGTTTTCACGTCTGCTTTTTTGGTGCATAAACCAAGCATATCGGAAATAAGATGGCAGATTCATTAACATAACCACTGAAGGATATACGGATGTCTCTTGAGAAGTTTTGTTCTTGCATTTTTTAAATTCTAGATTGGCGTGTGAAAACCCATAATTCAGATGTAAAATAGGTTTCTTTAGCTTGGTGCTCAAATCATAACATTTAATTATGATAATGATTAAAAGTTATTTCATTAACTAGGGATGGTTTTATGAATTTGTTCAGCACTATGAAATTGAAAAATCATAATGTTTAATTTCTGGTTTGGCATAAATGGATGTTGACATACAGCACATACGGAAGATCAAATAATGCTTGGTCAGGAGGGATGCTGCATATTAGAATCTTTAGTATTGGGAAGATATTGTTATGTCATTATAAGAACACATCTTTAGTTCCAAAGCCTTCTAATGTTTTAAAGCCAAAGACAATGGCAGTCTTTTGGTGGCCAAAGAACATATTTTTTGGGAAGTGCAAAGAATGCTTGGTGGGAATATGCAAAGGAAAAGTGACAGCATCATGCATGTGGGAAAATTGGTGATTTTTGGTTATGGCAGTTAGAGGCGTGCCACAATTGGCTCTCATTACAATTAGCAGGGATGCCAAATGTGGCACGGGTATGACTAAAGCAGTTAAGCCAGTGGAGATCTTTCATGTCTCCTTAAAAAGCATTATGTGAAAACTTCACTTGACCAAAATCATGGTTGGCAATGGAGGTCAGTAGCTGTGGGCAATAAAAAAATGTTACTATCTCCATCTGGAGATAGCAATGACATATGGAAAAGAGATGTAGCTATTGTAGATGAAAGTTAGTGGATGAAATGAAAGAAAAATAGATGCGTGTCTCTGAAACTTAACATATAAAACTGGATGAAGAGAAAATATGTGTTAGATCTGAATGAAGATGACCTCATCTGAATGGAATGGAGTTGTTGATGTAGCAGAAAATTAAAATATAGACATAATTATGAATGAAAGGTCTAAAAATTGAGGAACGGTATGGTGTCATCAAGGTAATTGTGGGTGTGTATGAAAGTAGGAACCTAGGTTTGGTATAGTTATATCTTGTGCTCTAGGGAAAATACAGGTAATCCTTGACTTACGACCACAATTGAACCTAAGCAAGATATTTGCTAAGCAAGATATTTGTTAACTGAATTTTGCCCCATTTTCCAACCTTTTTGCCACAGTTGTTAAGTGAATCTCTGCAGTTGTTAAGTTAGTAACATGATTATTAATTGAATCTGACTTTCCCATTGACTTTGCTTGTCAAAAAGTGACAAAAGGGGATGACATGACCTCGGGACACTTAAATCATCATAAATATGAATCAGTTGCCAAGCATCCAAATTTTGATCATGTGACCATGGGGATGCTGCAACAGTTGTATGATAAATGGTCATAAGTCACTTTTTTCTATGCTGTTGTGACTTTGGTCACTAAACTGAGTGTTGTAAGTCAAGGACTACCTGTATAGCAAAACAATGCCAAGTTTAAAGAAATATAACTGCTAATACTGTGTTTTCCCTAAAATAAGATCCTGTCTTACATTTTTTGCAACCAAAAAAGGCACCAGGTCTTATTTTTTGGGGGGGGATGTCATCCACTGATTAACCTCACTTGCGTGCGTCGCCCCTGGCCTACTTTCCGCTGTCAGAGTCCTTCAGGAACTTCTGCGGCTGAAGGCCTCTGGAGCTGATAACAGAGCTCTGGATCGATCTAGAGCTTTGTTATCAGCTACAGAGGCCTTCAGGAAAGCCTGGCCAGCCTTGCCAGTGTCAGGGTGTGTGAGGCCTGGCTTCAACTGTCCAAAAATAAATAGTAGGGCACCTCCACCACCCCCATCCCCATCCTAGCTTAATTTTTACCCATCCACTCTGGAGTGGGCGGGATCTTAATTAAGGTTTATTTTGGGGGTAGGGCTTATATTGGGTTCATGTATAAGAATCAAGCTAGGACTTAACTTTTGGGGGTAGGTCATATTTTTGGGGAAACGGCAGAAATATAGGGAGTACAATGTAGTCTGTGATGAGGAATGAACTTCCTTGAACTATGGAAAAAGCTATCTAAGAACGTGCTTCTTACTTTGTTTTATGGAAGTTAGAGTTGGCTATGTCAGGAGCAAAATAAAATCAGCCAAATGTAGCGAAACCATGATGGCTATTGTAGGCACTCTGCTTTAATTTGCTTACCCCAGAGCCTAAAGTGCAGTAGTCAGGAAAATGTAGATGAGATGTGAAATGGAATGTGCCATTGGTGATATTCTACCGATTCAGCTGAACCAGTAGCTCTGAGGATCATCTGTGAGTGAACCGGTTCACTCTGACAGTCAGTTGCTGGGCCCTCTGCCCCGGCTCTATACTGACCTTTATTTCCTGCTTTTCAGCCTCAGCGGCTTCGCTCTGCTGTTTTACACACAGGGCTTGCAGCAGAAAGTGAGTTGCAAGCGCTGTGCGCGTGCAAATCATATGTTTGGTGCATGCGTGCGCAAAGCACGTGCTCACACCGAACCAGGAGGAAAAATTTTTGAAACCCACCACTGGTGCATAGCCCATGGCTTCCTTTTGATGCTGCTTGCTTCCTCTCCCCCGCCACCCCAATTCCACTCTGATAGACTGATTTTCGTTCAGTTGGACCTCTGTAACTTTCTTTCTGATCTCATCTTTTTTCCTAGTGATGATGCCAGACAGTACCAATAGGTCTTATTCATTTAGTAAAAAATGAAATTAATATAGTCAGAGAGATGTTACAAGTTCTAAGTATAGATTGCGTAGATCAGGAAAAAGGGCTTTTCGGTAAGAGTGAATTGAGAAGGAAACACTGATTGAGTCTTATTTCAAATTCTTGAAAACCCTGAAAAATCAAGCAACATGATACCTTTGTGTTTAACAACATTCATGATGGTTAAAAGATGAATAAATAAAGTCGTTTCAGTACTCTTCAGGGAAATGCTTGCAGCAGATGTAATTTCTCATTCTTAGTATCTAAATTTCCTTTCTTCAAAACAACAAAAAAGGAACTTTACAGAGGCCAGTTATAACTTTTGGGGAGGGATTGGTAATCAGACATTTAAAAGAAGTAATGACTTTAATGGGGGATATAAAATACTTTCATTAATTGATTTTTTGCTTAACAGTTTAAACGAATATTTTGTCTTTGTTTTTCATGATAGCGAGAACTTGATGCAACGGCAACAGTGTTGGCTAACCGACAAGATGAAAGTGAACAATCAAGAAAGAAACTTATTGAACAAAGCCGTGAGTTCAAGAAAAACACTCCAGAAGTAAGTTGCAATATAATACAGATTTTGAGCTGTTTTCCATAGCATGAAATCGACTTTTTCCCATCTGTTGAAATTAGCTGTAATGGCTTGTTCTTCCAGGTTATTTCTTGGACTCCTGGCAAATGGAATCTCTCTTTTTCTCTCTCTCTATAAGAATCTTTAAGTGTCTGGCTTTATACCCTGGATGTGTTAGGATTTACCAAAAAGATTACATAGCATCACTTACTATGCAGAATTCTTAAAAAGAACTATCATTTCATCAAACTAATTAGGAGCACAATAAAATAGAATGCCCCTTAAATTTGGCAGTTTCATAATGTTAAGAAATTACTTCAGATTACTGTAACTATTAAATATATGTATATGTAAGAAAACTCTGGGCATGCTGAAATGAATATGTCAATAATTTTCAATGTCATAATTTTTCAATTAAGACTTTTAAAATGTAAAAGAGATTATGCTGCATGGAAATATCTCAACATTTCATGGAAGAATCCCAGAAACATTTTATTTTGAAAGAAGCATTTATACCATATTTAAATGTGCTGTATAATTATTTTTTCTTAAATGTTAATTTAAGTGGTTTTGGCTATTGGAAAGCTGTCAGGATCTTTTTTTAATACATTATATAACGCTAAGTAGGCATACTTTTTTAGTTTTCCTTATTTAAATATAGATCCATTTAACATTTTAAATGAGCTTCCCACCCTGCGCTTCCTCGTACGTTGGTTTCCATCCATTCCGCTTATTATAGATAATATCCTATCTAGTTTCAGTTTATGATGTCAGAAAAATAATTCCAATTCTGGAAATCTCAAACCTTATTTTTATTTCTCTGAATAATTTCTCCATATTCAGAGTATTTATATCCATTTGACATCAAGTTCTTCTCATTTGCTGCTATTAAAAAGAGAGCATTTAATGCAATCAATGTCTAGAATAATTAGCTTTTCTCAGATCCTGTGCCCAACACATGATATCAATGAGTGAATATTGATAAAGAGCTGTGGCCTGTAAGAACTGTACCAGGAAAAGCACCATGGGACATTTTCTCTCTCTCTCTCTCTCCCCCACCCTCCCTCTCCCTCTCTCTCTCTTCCCTTCCAAGTACTGTTAAGGTGTGAGATCAATAGTATAATTTGGTAGTGTAAGATTCTCGCTTCTTTCCCCCTCTTTTCACTTAAGGGAGTATAACACAGTGAGGACTAGAAATACTTTATAGGTAGTTCTCAATTTACAACTACAGTTGGAACCAGAATTTCTGTTGCTAAGCAAGGCAATTGTTAAATGAGTTATAAATGATTTTACAATCTTTTTTTTGCTGTTGTTGTTAAGTGAATCACTGCAGTCCTTAAGTGAATCACTGCAGTTCTTAAGTGAATCCCAGAGTTGTTAACCAAATCTGGCTTCCCCTGTTGAGTTTGATCAGAAGACAGCCGGGAAGGTCACAAATGGCAATCACATGACACTGCAGCCATCTTAAATACGTGCCAAGTGCCCAACTTTGGAACACTTGACTGTGGAAATGCTGTGATATTTGTTGGTGCAAAGACTGTTCAAGAGTCACTTTTTTCAGTGACTACCTTAATTCTTTGGAGAGTTATTGTTCTTTGGATTCACTTGCTCTGTCTAGACTAGATGTTTTGATTTGATATAAGGCATCTTCGCATGCTAAAAGATCTGTTTATCTGGTAAAATGTTTGAATGCAGATGTGCATCCCACCAGGCTCAAGGTTGACTCAGCCTTCCATCCTTCCGAGGTAGGTAAAATGAGGACTCAGATTGTTGGGGGCAATATGCTAACTCTGTAAAACCGCTTAGAGAGGGCTGTAAAGCACTGTAAAGTGGTACATAAGTCTAAGTGCTATTGCTATTGCTATTGCTATTCTGGGGTTTGATATAGATTCTGGAATTTTGAATGCTTCAAAATGATGGTCTTCGCTTAATTGCATGGCTTCAATCAGTAAGGGTTCCCCCCCTTTAATTCTTGGTTATATGACACAGATGCTTATTAGACATGCTTCTAGGACAGGGGTCGCCAACCTTTTGGACCTCAGGGACCACCAAACTCATAATTTTAAATCCCAGGTACCACTAATTGGTTCTGGGGGCATGGCCTAATTTGTGGGTGTGGCTTGGTGGTCATGTGACTGGCTGGGCATGGCTTATATGTAAATATTATAAATATTTATATAAATATTGAATTTTTTATTTAAAAAAGAGCAACTATTATCCAAAATCAGGCAAAGCAGGCAGGCTGATTGAGTTGCTCACAGAATCATTCAGTGATCTATCTATCTGCCATTGGCTAGCTCAGTCTGTCACATAATTTGCTTGCCATGAGTCTGCACTGAATAATAGAACCTTCAATCCTAAAGGAGGTTCAGCTCTGCTTAAAAGCAGAGCCGAAGGTCTAAAGACTAGCTAGAAAGCAAGAAATCCAACCATTTCCTGCTTCCTAACTAATCTAAATCTCCCGGCAGAGCAGAACAGCTGATGGTCGAAAAAAGAAAAAGGAAAAATAGCAATTTAGCAGGCAAGTTTGCTGTGTAAGGAGTGAGTGGGCGGGGAGGGTTCCTGTGGGCCATGTGGGCAGCCACAGCCTCCTGTTTCTGCGCAGCCTGGATTAATTACTTTGGGGGTGAGATTTCTCTGTGGCCCGCCAAAATTTTCTTGCGGCCCACCAGTTGACAACCGCTGTTCTGGGACACGGGACAGTAACAAGCTAACATTTTTATTTTTTGTGGATCTTTGTGGATCCGAAGCATTTTTGAGAATGAAAGTGATTGTTATTGCTGGCCTTTTGTTGATGGACAGATTGCTGCTGGCATTTTACTTATTTATTTAGTATGCAAATACTTATGTGTATGTAGGCTAACCATCTCATATACTTGATTTTGACCATCTCACAAGTAAAAAAAGAATTAAAAAGCTTGTTAAAAACAACCAGAGTTAAAAACAACAAAAATAATATAAAACATAAAACTTTGCTTTGAGTTTTAATGTTTGCCATATCATTTTGAAAAGATCAGCTGGGACATGGAGGCTGGCAAGAGCTAGGGGAAGTTTTGCAGGCAAATTATGGAGCCATTATTTTAGGAATCTGGCATTGGTAAGAAGAATGAAAGAAAAGTAACATTATACTGGCATTCAAATTCCTTTCTTGCCATTTGAAGGTGGGATCTTTTATAAATTCCAGTATATCATTCTTTGATTTGCCTGTTATGGGAGCTAACTTTTGACATAAGTCTGTAGAAATGATTAAGCTGTTTAGATCTCTTCTTCAGTAACACTCCCACACAAATACAGCACATCCACACAAGCTCCTTTTTGGAGAATTTCAGTTGAGTTTTTTATGCTTAATATGGCATGGCTTCACAACCATTTATCTATTGTTCTTGGGATGGACTATGTTGTTATGATTCAGAAGGCCTAAAATAAAATTAAAAAATCTACTTCCCACCCCTGCCACCTTTTTAAGGTTATCTAGAATCCAGCTCATTGTAAACCTTGTGCTTTTCATTTGATCACCTCCCCACCCTTGTCAACTTCTGGAAATCATGTTTTTGGCTTCATGAGTTTTGTCATTTATTTATTCGCTTATTTAAATCGATTGATATGGCTATCCATCTGACTATCCATCTGACTAATGTAACCTTGGGCAGCTAGGAAAGATTACACTATATAATTTGAATTTTTTTTATATATATATATATATATATATATATATATATATTCAAAATGTCTCTCTCTCTCTCTCTCTCTCTCTCTCTCTCTCTCTCTCTGTGTGTGTGTGTGTGTGTGTGTCTATACACACACAAATGCGTATACCAATGAAAATGTTTGTGATGTGTTGGATTAATTTAGGAACTAAAAATTAAAATAAATGGGAATGGTTTAAAATAACTACAGTTTGCTTGAAAATGTAGTTGCTGCATGCTTTGCAAAGATTAAGGCCATCACTCCAGGAGCAAGAACCGACAGGGCCATCTTGTGCTCTCTCAGGTGATTACAGGCATCAGTAAGAATTTTTATTGAGATAACCAAAGAAAAGATTAGTTCACCTGAAATATTTGCAAAGTCTGGCCTCCCTTTGTCACAATAACTTTTACAAAGAACTTTTAATAATTTCTATTAATGTTTAATCCATATATCGAATAAACTGTATTTGGGGAGGACTAACCAATATTTAACAGCTTTGTGTCCTCCTCCTTTAGGGAAATCATATTAAAAACATAACCAATCTTTAACATTCTAAAAAAAGTGCAAAAAGAAAATAAAGTAAAATAAAGTAAAAGACGGAAAGTTCTATAAAAATAGAAGTAGTACCAAAGTATTGATGAGTTTTTAATTGTTTTAATTATTTATATTACACAGAGTATAATGGTGAGCACATTTAATAAATTGTACTAAAGTAGGAATGATATTGCCTGTTGAGACTGGCAGGCAGAGATTTTAGGGAGCAGCTTTTCATTTTTTTACTTCTATCCTGGTACAGTCAATGTGTAATTATAACACATTTTAAATGGAATAATATAACAATATTATTATTCCTTCTCCTCCCCAAGAAGAAATTTATCACCAGATAAGTGGAAAAGAAAAAAAGAGAAGTGCTTTTTATTTATCCTGGTTCTGTTAGAAAGTGAGATACATATGGGTGATCCTAGTGAACATGGCCATTGATGACATATTTTTGTTTTTCGATGCCTACAAATATGCCAAATGTTTAATAAAATTAGTTGTACTTTGGCAATATCTCCAGCATTAGAGCAAACAGATTAAAGTTTTTTTAAAAAAAGAATATTGTAGTCATTGCTATTTTAAAAGATAGCAAGTCTCTCTGAAATTCTAAATAGAAAAGTTACTATAAATGCTCATGGGAAGTAAAAGAGATCATTTTGAAGATTCTACTTTTGTAGATGCCACCAAACAAAATTCTTAATGGTATTTTATAAAATGTACAATGCTATAATTAAATGTTAATTTTCTTTAATCATCAG